AATTCTGGATCCAATCAAGGATCACACATTGCATTTAGTTGCCCTGTCTCTTCAGCCTGTAAAAGGTTCCACTCCTTTTTCCATTTTCTTTTGGGTCAGTCTGTCATGATATGGACATTTTTGACAAGTAAAGGCCAGGTAGCTTAGAGAATGCCCCGTAGTCTAGATTTGTCTTATTGTTTCCTTGCGATTAGAGTCAGGTTAAATATTTTCGGCAAGAACGTAGGTGGTGATGTATTCTTTCTGTGGCGTTGTTACGGTCAGACCCTTTCGTGTCGGAGGGGCACGTGGGCCTGGCAGGGAGTCACTCCTATAAGAAGGAGCTGGAGTCCTGTTGCCCCCCGAGCGCGGGCGCGGGTTCTGGGTGGGGAGGAGGGCGGCCAGTGGACACAAAGCATGAAAGGACGTGCTTTTGCATTTCTTTTTCGTTGCAAAAGACCCCCTTTGATATTCAGGACATATTGCTAAATTTTATAAGGCGGGTTACCAAGAAAGGTATATATAAGATGAGGCCATTATTGTTTTAAAAAATAAAATAGAGGGAAAAGGTGGCAGCGTGCAGGTCAGTGTGAAAAGCTAGGTTCTGCACCGGAGAGCCTGGATTTGCATCCAGGGTCCTGCTGCTTCCTGGCTGTGTGACTCTGGGCGGCTTGCCCTCCCTCTCTGTGCTGAGTAGTCATTGTTTCTTTGTGCCCTTTCTCTGGCTGGGGAAGGGAAACCATCTCCCTCGGTGGGGTGGGAAATGCTGGACACAAGGCTGTGCATACCTGGTGAGGACCCAGCAGGAGGCCGGCCTGGGGCAAGGGTAGCACCCCCAGTAGCATCTGGGCCTGGGCAGGGGGCGGGGGGCGGGGGTGGCCCTCTGGGCCACCGTGGGCTGCATACAGCCCCGGCTTTGTACATCTAGCTCCCCTGACATGTGCCTTCAAATAATCTCTTCTGCTTAAGTCACCCCGGAGCTGGGTTTTGTGCTGGGCCTAAGCTCTCTGAGCAGGACACTCTTGGAGGCTCAGAGTTGTCAGCCTTACGTAAGTAAGGTGGCTACACCGATAAAGCCCACTTCCCAGCTTCCTTGCTGGGATTCTCGAAATAAGGATGTCAAGCCTGACCACAATGCTTACTACTGGGCTTAACAAATGCCGGCCCAAATTGTCTGTGGGTTTGCTTTATGGAAAAGTACTAGAAATGTATATCAGAAAATATTAACTGTTATTAGCTCTGAACGGAGGATTGTGGGTGATTTTAATTTTAAAATTATTATTATTTTGCTTCTTTGTATTTGCTAACTTCCCTACAGTCTGATTTGTGTTTTGCAAAGGAAAAATAAACAAGTAAAGCTTTCCTTCCCTGGGCCTTTGCCCCGAAATCTTCTGGCCTGAGATGTGCTGAGATGGGCTGGGGTCCCTCTGGGACTGGGGGAGACTGGCCTAGCCAGAAGTGTGGGGCCCAGGGCAGGGGTGCAGGCATGGGGTGAGCCCCCTCTGAGCCCTGCCCACCCAGGCCTGCCTGGAGAGGCCGAGGGCTCTTCCCCCGGCTCCCATAAATGCCTCCTAAGTGTGACGCATGGCAGGGGAGGCCAGAAACGCTAACACAGCAGTCCTGCTTATTTAGAGGGGGCAGGTGGGGGCAGGGGACGAGGCGAGGCTGCCTCGGAGGGGCGGGTGGGAAGACGTTTCCCTTGACAGCAGAGCTATTCGGATGAAGCCCAGCTCCCCAGGGCTCCTTGCTCTGCCTGCTGTAGAGTCTGCTATAGGGGTTGCATGGGGCGCAGGGGTGGAGGGCAAAGCAGGCAGGAGGGCCCCCCAACCCCCTCCCACCCCGGGCAGATGCCCCGCTGCCTGGGGCTGCCTAGGCTGCAGTGGCCCTGGGTTCAACACTGGGCTCTGGAGTCACGCTGACTGCACTCACCTCCTGCCCCTGGGCTTCGCAAGTGTGACTTCAGGCCAGTTACTTCTCTCCTAGCCTCCCTTGGTGGACCTCCTCATCCCCTTCTGTAAAATGGGTATGGTAGTCCCTTCTGCCTAGGGCAGTGTTCTCAACCTGGGCCGGTTTTGCCCCCAGTCTGCAATGCCCAGAGGCACTTTTGGTTTTCACCCCAGAGAAGGAGGTGCTACTGGCATCTAGCTGCCCAAGGCCGGGGATGCTGCTAAACCTCCCAGGTGCCAAGCTCAGCGTCCCACCGCCCTCCCAGAAGTCTCCAGCCCTCATGGCAAAGGCCCCGAGGTTGAGAAACCTGTCGTAGGCTGAAGACGAGCATTCACTTGCGCACAGCACCTGACGGCCGGCCGTTATCCAAGCTGGGGAATGGGGACCTGGGCCTCTTTACCTCTCAGAAGCAGGTGTCAGAACCTGATCTCGGTCGGGGACAGGATGCAGTATTTAAGAGAGGCTGGGCTATGACTTTGGGTCCGGCTCACCTTGTTTTCTCCTTCTCCCCCCGCTGCCTGGAAAATGTCAGAGTTTTCCAAATGGCCTCGGGCAACTCTGCCTCCAGCCTCCAGCCAAGGTCAGGGTCTGACTGGTGTCCTCAGGGACTGGGGCTGCCACTGTGATTGATGATGCCGTCCACCTCCCAGCCCTCACTCAGACCAGCCCCAGGAGAGCTGACACAGCGCTGGTCTGGCTGAGAGAGTTCTGGGAGGACAGAGCCCTGCCCACAGAGGCCCCTTTCCTCTTAGACCCCTCAGGACCCTTCCAGAGACACACCCAGGGCGACACAAAGGGGAGAGTGTGTGTGCGTGTGTGCAGAGTTGTTGGTGCCCTGCCCAGAGCCCCTTTATGGGAGCACCCCCCCCAGTGTTGTGTTGGCATAGTCACAGCTCACGGCCACCCACTTTCTGTACTGGGGGACTGACTGCAGCCCCCCAAGGCAGCATGAGGCCACTGACTGCCTGATTGGAAGCTGCCCCTTGCCTCATGATGTGGTTTATGCTCCAGAGCCCCCACAGTGGACCAGGCTGACGGAGGACATCGGTGCTGGGCCTTCCCCACACCCCACATCCCAATTCCCTCACTACCTCAGCAAATGCACGCCCGACCCCCTGTCTCAGGATCTGCTTCTTATGAGGGAACCAGACCAAAGGGCTGTGTGTGCACGTGTGTGTGTGTGTGTGTGTGTGTGTGTGTGTGTGTGTGTGTGTTTGGGGGTATCTTACTGCGGTGCCTTTGTATTTTAACACTGGGAGGAGGAGGAGGAGGAGGAGGAGGAGGAAGGCGACCATTGTTTACAAATTGCAGCCAGCAGGTACTCTTTGTCTAGCGGTGGGTCCACACTCAGCTGAAGGGGGAGGCAGCTCCCATGCGGGAAAGAAGTGGCTTGAGACAGCAAGGCCTGGACACCGGGGGGCCTAATGCTGTAATCCCTTGTCCTCGTCGTGGGCAGTGTTGGGGGGGGGAGGGCGGTTGCAGCTGAGAGAGGGAGGGTGTCAGTCTCTCTGGCCTCGGTGGACTCGGGGGGGCGGGGGGACCCAGATGCTGGGTGGGGAGAGTCAATAGCTTAGGAACTGGTAAGTCTGCGTGAAACAGAAAACCGCAATTCCAGTGTTTTAATCACATCAGGATTGACTTTTTCTCACACATGAAGAAGTGCAGAGGTTGGCAAGCAGGCCTGGTGTGCTTGGCTCTGCTAGTTCCTCAGCTCCACCATCCTGAGAAGGACGCCCTCACACCCACGGTTGCCAGATGGCCCGTCCCTCACTTCTGCTGCCTGAGAACCAGGGGGAGGGGCAAGAGAGCAGGGCCAGGGCCCCAAACCGGGCCAACTAAAGCTGGGTGGGGAGTAGGGAGGGGAGGGGCTTTTAAGGAACTTTCTAGAAGCCCCATCCATCACTCCTGCTTAGATTTCAGTGGCCAGAACTATGTCACATGCCCACTCTTATACACAGGGAGCCCCAGGGTGTCTTACTTTCACTGGGGTTCTGCTGGTAAGGAGGAACGTGAAGAAGCCACAGGGGGCCTGATGGAACGCACTTCCTTTAGGGGTTGGGAGCTGACCCCTGCAACCTGGTGCTGGGGATGGGAACTGAGAGAGGCCAGCAGGGTTGGCCTTTGGCCTTGACAAGCCTTGAATCCTGTTTCATATCCAGTTGTAGCTTCCCTCTTCCCGTGCTGTATTGTAATCTCGTCCTCAAGGCCAAGTTCTGTTGACCTGGGTCTTAGCCTTGCTTTGGGGATTTGAGGGTGGGGGAGGCAGGTCTAAACTCCCCATTCTGGAAAGAGTGGCTGCAGGTGCCAGGAGGTAACCGCAGGTGGGGGCCGTAGGAGCAGCTAGGAGCCAGAACTGACCCATGGGGCTGAGAATCTTTGGGAGAAATCTGGACCTTCCAGAGAGTAAGTGGTGGTGGTGGTGGGGAAATATGAGTACCCAAGGGCAGGAGAGACGCGGGGGACCCTCCCACGGCACGGGGCCTCAGCTGATAGACCCCATTCTTCAGAGTGTCCTCTCACAACTCCCAGGCCGCCCCTGGGTCTCCTTGGCCACCCCCTGTGTGATCTTTGGGAGGAAAAGGAGAAGGAGAGGGTGGTGGGCTGTGCATTCCATCTAGGGATTCCAGACACTGGGCCCGAGGCTGGGGGTCCCCCAGGTCTGAGAGACACATCCATCCCGATTTATAAATCACCAGTCAGTTCCCTTGGACCTCTCAGCAGTGATACCAGTGTCCACCATGTGCTTTTAAATTCAAGGACAGCTGAGGAAAAGTGCCAATAAACTTTGGATTTTCTTTTTTAAGAGACAGGAGGGAGGCAACAGTCTGGGGAGGCTGCTAACATGTGGGTACCCCCTACCAAGGGCTTAGAGGGCTCTGCTAACCACACCTGCCAGGAGGAGGGCTGCCCAATCTCACTCACAGGCCTGGGGAAGTGGTGGCCCTCACGGTGAAAGTTCCTCCAAGGCTACTTTGTGGGCTCCTCTTTAAACTCCAAACCCGCGGGGTGTAAATGAACACAGAAAACAGGCCCCGGAGGCAGCAGTGAGCAGACTCTTTACTCCGTTGACTCTTTACTCCGTCGGATAATACACCATCAACCACCCGTAGCGGCTCATGTCCTCCTTATAGGGAACGGTTAATACAAACAAAAATAGTTCTCTACAAAACAGTTTCCAGCCCTCCCAACCCTCCTTCCCAACTCCCTCCCCCAGACGGTGAGTTCCTTGGTCACCAGGCCTCACGGAGTCCGGTGGGTCGCAAAGGAAAACGAAGAAAGGAGAGTTGTAGGCAACTGGACCTCCGGGTCCGCAGGCCGGTGGTAAGCCAGGGACAGGTGCAGGGGGTGTCCGTGACAGTCGTGTGCGTGTGTGTGTGTGTGTGTGTGTGTGTGTGTGTTGGGAGGCGGGACCTGGAGGTGTTGAGGTGAGCGGCGTTTCTCCCCACCCCCCGTCTCACCGCCAGCAAAAAAAAAAAAAAAAAAAGGGGGGGGGGGGGGGGGGAAAAAAAAAAAAAAAAAAAAGGTGGGGGGGCGGCGGGTAATACAAAAGAAAAACTAAGACCCAAATCGCAGGCTGCTGGGGCCAGAGCCGCACAGCGCCCCCTGCGGCGGCGGAGGGCAGTGCCGGGGCGGGGGCGGGGGCGGGGGCCACGGACCGTGGCGGGAGGAGGCGGGAGGACTCTGCTGAGTAGCACCTGGGAGCAGCTCGGGCCGCACCCTTCTCGCCGCCCGGCCTCGGACGCCGGCCCCCGAACCCCCGAACCCCCGACCCCCCCGGGCCCCCGGGCGCAGGGTCCTCCGGGCCGCGCTCAGCAGCCCAGACGGGCGGCCAGCCCCAGCAGCAGCAGGCAGCCGAGCAGGGTGGCGGGGCGCGGGGCGGCCCCGGGCGCGCGGTCGCAGTCCAGGCCGCCGTCCTCCGCGGCGGGGTCGCAGCGGGGCTGCTCGCAGCGCACGCCTGTGTAGCCGCTCGGGCAGGCGCAGCGCTGGTTCTGCACGCAGGTGCCGCCGTTCTGGCAGAGCAGCTGATCGTCGTCGCACACGTTGGCTGCAGGGCGGAGGGGCAGTTAACGCGGGCGGTGGCCCAGTCCACCCCCCTCGCTGGAGATTCTGCGACTGAGACGGACCGAGGGGTGCTGGAGGCTCAGGGCGCACTTGGTGCGAAACGCCCCTGCGTGGATGGGGACAGTGGCCGGGCGACACCTGGCCCCTGTCTTTTTTCCCGCCACTGCCCCTGGCTCTCCCCGCTCCCGGCCCACTGGCCTTGGGGACGCAACTGCTCTCTCTTCTCCGGAGCTTTGCACCTGCTAGTCCATGTGCCTGGAGCGCCCTTCCACCCTCCTCCAGAGGTCTGAGAGACACATCCATCCCGATTTATAAATCACCAGTCAGTTCCCTTGGACCTCTCAGCAGTGATACCAGTGTCCACCATGTGCTTTTAA